GTGATCTCTATGCGTTCTACATTCCTTCGGAAGATCTTGATGTTCTTCAATGATTTGAGTGAATCTTCTTGTGGTATTGCTTGATTCTTTGAAGTCTCTTCTTGTTGTTATGAAGAACCTACTATATCATCATCATCATCCACAATAATATTATCCTCTTTCGAGGGGTTAGTCTCATCAAAAGAAACATGAATGGATTCTTCAATAGTAAGAGTTCTTTTATTAAAAATTCTAAAAGCTCTACTAGAAAGAGAGTAACCAAGAAATATACCTTCGTCGGACTTCTCATCAAACTTACTGAGATTTTCCTTATTGTTGTTGAGAACAAAACATTTGCATCCGAATATGTGGAAAAATGCTATGTTTGGTTTCCTACCCTTGAACAGCTCATACGGAGTCTTCTTGAGAATTGGTCGAATATTGACACGGTTGCTTACGAAACACGTCGTGCTAACTGCTTCTGCCCAGAAATATTTAGGAAGATTCGAGTCGCTAAGCATTGTTCAATCAAGCTCCACTAGTGACCTATTCTTCCGTTCTATGACACCGTTCTGTTGAGGAGTCCTTGGTGCGGAAAAATTATGAGAAATTCCATGCTCTTCGCAAAAATCTTCAAAATATGAATTTTGGAATTCTCCACCATGGTCGCTTCTTATGGAGGCTATGGTGAGTGACTTCTTGTTTTGAATTTGCTTCGCATACTTCTTGAATGCTTTGAAAGCATCATTTTTCTGCACTAAAAACAATGTCCATGTGTATCGAGAGAAATTATCAACAATAACTAAAGCATAAATACTACCTCCAAAACTCTTCGTTCTCGATGGACCAAAGAGATCCATATGCAACAATTGCAGTGGTCTTGATGTAGACACCACTTGCTTGGATTTGAAAGTTGTCTTGGCCTGTTTCCCCTTTTGACATGCATCACATAATTTATCCTTGATGAATTTTATCTTCGGAAGACCAACAACTAGATCATGCTTTATCAATTTATTTAAATGCTCAATGTGAAAGTGAGCAAATCTTTTATGCCAAAGCCACGCCTCGTTGTTGTTCGCCATAAGACATTTTACCTTCAAGGAAGAGTCATCAAAAGAGATCATAAAAATATTATTAAATCTTTTACCTTTTAGCAAGATGTCATGGGTGACTTCATGTTCTATCAAACATTCATCCTTTGTGAAGTTGATTCGAAACCCTTTGTCACACAATTGACTTATGCTAAGTAGGTTGTGTTTAAGGCCTTCCACATACAGAACGTCTTCGATGATTGTACATGGAGGTGCACCAACAGTTCCAACTCCAAGAATTTTTCCTTTATTATCATCACCGTAAGTAACGTATCTTTTGGCCTTTAATGATAGACTTGAAAATTTGTTTATGTCTCCCGTCATATGCTTAGAACAACCGCTATCAAGATACCATTGATTAGAAGTTGTCTTCAAGCATACCTACAACACAAAATCAAGTAGTGTTAGGTACCCAAATTGCTTTGGGTCCTTGATAGTTAGTACCCTTTTCAACCCACACATAATGCCCTTTAGCAACACCAAAGTTGCGCACATAGCAAGGATTAGGTGTATGGCCCTTAATTCCACAATAAAAACAAGTAGGTTGAAAATGACTTCTATATCTAGGAACATAATTCTTTTTCTTCACAATTCTTTTCTTTTTATGACTTTGATGCACAACATTAGAATTGTTTACCTTTACTTTAACAACTTGTTCACTTGCTTTTACAAAAATGGTTTCATTTGTGCTTGGTTTGGAAACCTTAGAATATCCTAGTCCACTTTTATCATTAGGATATCTTTGGTGCCTAAGAATTTCCTCCAAGCCAATTTGACCTTTTTCGTATCTTTCTAAAACTCTTTTAAGTTGAACAATTTGAAAAGATAAAGATTCACAATATTTGCATACAAGACTTTGTTTTTCATCCATCAATTTTTGTTTTTCATTTTCAATATTTTTTATAAAAACAGTATTTTGTTCTTCTAAAAATGAAATTCTTTTCTTTTGGGGTGAGATGCTTTTATACAAAGTCTTGTATTCTTTTAGAAGTTCATCTATGACTTCTTGTGCATCATTTTCATAAATTGAAAAGTTGTTACTAACCTCATCAATGTCTTCATCGGAATGATGTGATGCCATAAGAGCCATATTTGCACATTCATCGCTTTCCGACTCTGATGATGAACTTATCTCGTTATCGTCCCAAGCAACATAAGCCTTTTTATTTTTGAAATCCTTCTTGCCTTTGAATCCTCCTTTCTTTGCAAGTTTCGGATAATCCGACTTTATGTGACCTTGTTTCCCACATTCGTAGCATGTGACTTCTTGGTTTGATGTGGATGCATCCTTTTTCTTGAAATGTCTATTCTTTTTAGGAAAAGAGGAATTTTTATTATTATTAAAAAACTTACCAAGCTTCTTTACTAGAAGCATGAAATTCTAATCTTCGGAAGATTCGTCGTTTTTGTCATCCTTTGTGTCAATCTTCAAGGCAATTCCTTTGGACTTTTTATCTTGACTTTCATGCTTCTCAAACCTTCCAAGTTCCAATTCATGCTCTTAAAGTTTGCCAAATAAAGAAGCGGATGTCATCATTGAGAGACTCTTCTTTTCGGAAATAGCGGTCACCTTTGGTTGCCATTCTCTTGTTAAGGATCTTAGGACTTTCAAGTTAAGATCATCATTGGTGAAGGTCTTCCTGAGAGTAATCAAATGATTTGTTAGATGAACGAATCTCTTTTGTAAGGCAATAATAGATTCACCGGGCTGCATACAGAACATCTCATATTCTTGGCTTAAAGTGTTGAGCCTTGATCTTTTTACTTCTGCAGTTCCTTCATGCGTTTCCACCAAGGTGTCCCAAATCTCTTTTGCCGATCTACACTGTGGTACACGGAAGAATTCGCCATACTAAGAGCGCTTTGGAGTATGTTGATTGTTTTCTTCTCATCAAGAATCTTTTTCTTATCATTTTCATCATACGTGCTTTTCAACTTTGCGGTTCCAACGTCATTGACCATATTTACTGGATTGTGTAGTCCTTCTTCGATTGCTTCTCATATACCTTCTCCTTGGGCTTCAAGATGCGCCTTCATTCTGATTTTCCAGAAATCAAAATACCCTCTAGAAAACAGTGGTGGTTTATTACTACTTCCACCGTCTTTGAAAACCGGGTTGGTGCTAGCGGAAGCCATACTGAATCGTTAGGAACAGGTTACCTTAACCTGCTCTGATGCCAATTGTAAGTACATAGTATGCCTAAGAGGGGGTGAATTAGGCTTTAGGTACTTTTTCCGGTTTTTCGGTATTCTTGGATTTTACTTCTTTAAGACTGTTGGTGATGAAAGCGGTAAATGCAGAAAAGGAAAGAACACGGAGAATTATAGTGGTTCCCCTCACAATCCGAGAGTACTCCACTCCCCTTTCAACATGAAAGAGAATTTACTATAGTTTTAGAATTGTACAACCTATCACACCATCAACCGGTGAGGCATACTTTCTAACAACTATACAATCACAAGTGTGCAAGAATAATCCTCATGCAGACACTTACCTTTGTGTCCAACAATCCTGGATCACAAGTCACAATACAAGTAATTTGAATGAATTGATTTGAGAGTAATAGCAATGATATCAATACATAGATTGATCTTCTCCTTTTGATCAGAATTCACTCTTTAGTATCAATACAAGTGTTCAATGCTATGGATATGAAATATATGAACAATATGAACACTTTGAGAAAATTTGAAAATATTTGAATTTGAGTGAATTTGATTCAATGAATATTTTTGAAAATTGTAGGAGGTGTTTTTCAATTTTGAAATAATCAGAATTTATATGAGTCAAAACACCTATTCAAACAGGTTTAATTGAGTATAGAACAAACAATGAAAAGGTATAACATTCAAACAATATTTGAACTTGAAAGGAAGCAATTTTTTAAAATACGTTCAGTGTTAATCGGTTAACCATATAGGTTAATTGGTTAACACTGTAACGTTAGCTCAAAGAATTCAAATTTTAAGGGCGTTAACCGATTAACCAATATGGTTAATCGGTTAACACTGTAAAAACTTTGAAAAATATTTATGTTTTAAGTGTTATACCAATTCTAAAGAGTTTAAAAACATGCCAATGCAGTATGCAAAAAATTATGGATTGTTTGAACACTTGTATATCAAATTAAAGAGGGAATTTTGATATACCAGCCTGTGTCCAAGTCTTGACAGATGAAGAATAATTTGCACAGCAACTTGACTTGTAAGTTATAATTGCGTAGACTTGATCAGTTTGAAAGCCTTGACTTTTTGCAATCATGAAGTGAGCTTGAGTTGAGTTGACATCATCAAAACGTTGAGATTGAAGTATGCTTGCTTCTACATATACCATTACTTACGCCATCATGCATGAGTTTGCTCTAACAATATAACAACCCTAAAAACCTCTAGTAATTCTTAATCACGAGGACCTCTTAGCAAATAAACAAACATTTAACTAATAATATATATAATTTCTATTTTTTTTATTCAATTTCATTTCTTTAATTTTTTTCTCTCTCTTATTTTCTTTCCCATCCAAACAAAGCATAAATGTTGAAGGATTGTAATTGCATTTTTGTAAGAGAAAACATTTGCACAATTGATTCTGATGAGGTGGATATGAACCAGAATAGAGTACGACCCACCCCCACATAACAATAAAACCGTCTTTTTAACATTTCACATTCACTCTCACTCTCACTCCTCTTTCGCTTCTCAATTCGATCGTCTTCCTCCGGCTTCGGATTCAAAATCACACTTCATACAGTTAGTTCCTCAAATTCCTTTTTCAATTATTTTCAGTTCCATCAAATTCTGATTCCAGATTTTTCAAATCAAATCGTGATTCCATTCCTCACGTGCTGTTTCCGTTTTAAAATTACACTCTTTCCATAGTTTAGGTTTCAAAAACCCGCATGCAACTGTGTAATAGTGATAATACTAGCAATGGAGGATTCTTCTGAGGTTCTTGGATCAAAAGGGTTAATTAAAAAACAAGAATTTGTTAGAATCATACTCCAGTGTCTATATTCATTAGGTTACACAAAGTCTGCATCTTGTTTGGAATTGGAATCTGGGGTTTCGAATAAATCCAAGGAATTTCAGTTACTTGAATCTCATGTCTTGGATGGAAATTGGGATGAATGTGCTGGTTTTCTTGATTCTATTAGGGATATGTTAGGTGAATCAGTAGAGCCTGCTTTGTTTCTTGTCTTTAGACAGTGTGTTTTGGAGTATTTGAAAAGGGGTGAGGTTACTCTGGCTTTGGATGTGTTGAGGAAACGGGTTTCTGGGCTGCGGGTGGACCGGCGCAAAATTCATGGTTTGGCTAATACTGTGATGGGTTTTAATGATATGGAGTTAGCTGTTGTGGATGATGGTGATGTTGGTTGTGATTTACGAAGGAGGTTGTTGGCGGATTTGGAGAAGATGTTGCCGCCGCCTGTTTCAATACCAGGTGGAAGGTTGGAGCATTTGGTTGAAACTACTGTTACTGCTTGGGTTGATTCTTGCTTATTTCATACTTCATCGAACCCTGTTTCGCTTTATGAGGATCATCGTTGCGGTAGAGAACAGTTTCCTACTATAACCACTCAGGTGAGTGTGTAGACTATTATTACCATTTTTGAGATAAGTGCCTTTTGTTAATGATTATTATATTTGCATGTTTTGTCATGTGTGATTTTAAAGAATCTTTGTTAAAGGCTTAGCGCTTAGATTCGATTTCTATATTTTCCTCTGTTTGACTGTAAGGGATGCACTTTGCATTATATACCATAAAAGAGGAAGTTGCATTGTTTCCAAGTTCTTATAATGCTCAACTGTGTAAAAATTAGAAAAAGCATAAATGATTAACTTTTGCGAAATAGAGATGATGCGTAGCTAGTTAAGCACCTATATGTTTTTAATTCTTCCATTTACGTAATTGTTATTTTCTTGTACCTTATGAGCGTGTCAAAAACCTGTTTCTTGTCTGTCTGTTTCCCTATCCGGAATTGATCTTTTAGGGCCATATGGAAAGAGATTAATTATTTTGGGTTGCTTTGAAGTGGCAATAAAGTATGGATCAGATTCGAAACCATGAGGATAAAATGTCCAAATTAAACTTCTTGCTTTGAACATTTAATATATACATGTTTTACTTAAATAAATAACAATGTCCTCTTTTGCCATTGCTGCAGATATTAACTGGACATAAAAATGAAGTTTGGTTTGTTCAGTTTTCTAACAACGGGGAATATCTAGCTTCTTCTTCAAACGATTGTACAGCTATCATATGGAAGGTATTGTGTTATTAGCATTACATGACACGTCTATTTTTGATTTAGATGATTCTTCCAATACAATTGTCTTACTTTTTCTTGGCTTTGATTAAATTTATATACTTGAGCTCTCAATATGCAGAACAAAAATAATTGTGTATATATTCATATATAACGCCCATAGAGTGGTTAAAGGAATTAGCAGTAGTTGAAAAATCAGCGCATTTTATATCTGGGTTAGGTGAAACTGTGTTTTGTATATCTTTTCCTTGCTGAAGTCGTTACTTTCTTTGTCAGTTTCTACGTGACAAGTGATTTAGAAATTGTTTCAGGCCTCTATGATGTCAATATTTGAAGACTGGAAACTTCAAATGACTAAGGATTTTTTATACCTCTCCTCAAATATCATGTATGTATGTTGTGCAAAAAATTTCCATTTTTTTGAGACCTGTCATGGGGCCTTGGATATTTGTTATGTATCTAGAGAGCTTTGTAGATTTATGAGCTTAAGACAAAGGAAGGGTTTGCTATAGAGTATGCCTGTAAGTAAAGGATAGTTGGATCTCATTATCTTGTCTGGAAGTTTCTTGAAATAAAATATAATGGATGTCTCTTGTTTGGTTAGGTGTTAATATGTATGGGAACATTATAGGATGTTAGGGTCCGCCTACAAGGTAAGATAATAGGTTCTGCTGTTTGGTTAGATGTTACATCTAACAAGGAGAAGACATTATCATTGTCAGATTCCAAACTCACATATTCCTTAATCTTAGTCACGGGAAGTCCACTACAAGACTCCTTGCTCGAACCCTTATTAGAACATAACTAGTAAATAAAATAATGATGGAAGAAGTCAATATTAAAAAGTAATTTCCAAAATAATAGGTTTATATTAACCCCAGCATTTGATGACTGTTGGAGTGGTAACAAAACTCAAAATTTGGAAATGAGTAAGGTTGGAACTTCGAAATAGAAGCGTCTACCATGTCTATTGGTGCACAGCTTCATACTTTCCTCTATCACTCACTCTCCACCGTCTGACTTTACCGCCCTGCTTTGTCCTTCTATGCACATTCATTGTGCTTCATCAAGTGCTTCTATTTCTCATTGGTATATTTCTCTCCGCATCCAGATGTAATTAAACCAGCCGCGCCTTCTCTAGTGAGACTTATTCCTAACAACTACTTCTTTCCACCTTTGGAATCCTTTGGCGAGCCCAACCGTCTTTGCTACAGTCACTCTGGCTGCGCCACACCTTTCCACCTGTGCCTACAGCCTCAATGTTTCTATTTTCTCTATGGTCTATCCTCCCATTGTAACGAGATTAAAGCTTACTAAGCTTTAGCTTGAGGTTACGTGTTAGAGTGTTAGAACTAGTTTCATGTCAAAGTTATTCACATGCTATTATTCCTTAGCTGCACAATATTAGTGATTAGAAAGTTAGAATAATGAGCAATCATATCAATCAGCATGTCTTGTATTTACTGCAATCCTATTATAAATAATGTCTTGTGTGATTTGATTTAGACACACAAATCACAAATTCAACAGATTTCAAAGATTGTCATGAGGCTTGTCAGAGCAATTGTTAAGTTTGATTCTAGGAAAATAGTTTGTGTCAGAGAAAGTCTGTATAACTGAACATAATTTGTGGGATACAATTATCATTAAACAGAAATGATCTGAGTTTTAAATATTAAACTTTTTGCAGTGATACTCCCTTTAGAATATAATACAAGCAAATAAGGTACATGTATATATATGTTGTCCAAGTTTGGACCAGAGACATGTAGTTTTTTTTTGCTTATATTTCATTCTGTGGTGTATTTTGTTTTGATATCTTTTGGAGAATACTACAAGATGTTTGACTGTCAACGAAGATCAAATTCTAATTATATCCTGCTACCTTGACTTCAATATGCCAAATTGAAATTCTGCTAAACTTTATCATTCTTATAGTTTGTAAAATTTGACAGTTAACAAAAAAATACAAATTTTTTTTATTATTTTTCTTAGTTTTATGCTCCAAGCTAAAATATGCTAACGGTGAAACTGTTGAGCCATTTGGTTCCTAATGTTGTTAAATACTCATGACAGGTGCAAGAAAATGGGAAATTGACATTGAAACACACACTCAGTGGTCACCTACGAGCTGTATCTTTTGTGGCATGGAGTCCCGATGATACCAAGTTGCTGACTTGTGGTAACATTGAAGTTTTGAAGCTGTGGGATGTTGAAACAGGTACATGCAAGCATACATTTGGGACTGATGGCTTTGTTGTCAGCTCATGTGCCTGGTTTCCCAGCTCAATGCAATTTGTGTGTGGCAGTTTTGACCCTGAAAAGGGCATCTGCATGTGGGATTGTGATGGAAATGAGCTAAGAGCTTGGAGAGGAATGAGGATGCCCAAAGTTGTTGACCTTACCGTTACTCCAGATGGCGAGTATCTTATTAGCATATTCTTGGATAAAGAAATTCGGATTTTACATTTGGAAACCAATGCAGAAAGAGTCATTTCAGAAATGCACCCTATCACATCCATTTCAGTTTCTGCAGATGGTAAGTTCTTCATTGTCAATCTAAACAGCCAGGAGATCCATATGTGGGACGTAGCTGGTACATGGAAGAAGCCAATGAAGTATACAGGTCACAAGCAGTGCAAATATGTGATTAGATCGTGTTTTGGCGGATTGAATAGCACATTTATTGCAAGTGGTAGTGAAAATTCAGAGGTAATTATTGTGTATTAATGAATTAACTAGTTACAGCTACTTATAGAAGCTAAGAAGCAAAACGCCGTAATCCACACTCTGCATTTCTTCATTTATGTGATGCAGGTATACATTTGGAATACTCGGAATTCGAAGCCAATAGAGGTTTTATCTGGGCACACCCTGACTGTAAATTGTGTGAGCTGGAATCCTAAGAGGCCACAAATGTTAGCATCTGCAAGTGATGATCATACAATTCGTATATGGGGACCGAACTTATGAAAAAGAACACAAACTTGATTAGATCAGTTGAACAGTGCATATTAGGTTATGAAGCCTAGTTTACTGTATATAGACCCAATATTATTTTGCCCCGCCTCAAGCTATTCAGTATGAGTTTGTAAAGTCCTGATTTGTTCATGCAGGAATTTTGTCCTAAGTTTTTATCTGTAAATCCTCTTTCCATTTAGTTAGAGCAGAAACTAGAAACAGATGGGTTAAACTTAGGTTTTTACCAGTTCACATTTTTATAATAATGACTAAGCTTTTTTTGTGTGTTGCTTTTGAGGCTATTTCATTATGGGGTGAGATGAGTTCTCGTTTAGTGTTGTTCTATAAGTTTGATTGCCAAATATATCTTTATACCGAGGGAGTAGCAAACATTGCAATTATTTTAAACACCGATTCAAAAATTGATATTTGATAATGTTATGGAAAACAGTGATATCATAATTTTTCGGATTACTTTATCCATTCATGGGGTGATAGTTTACTAAGGTGAAATGTTAAAAAAAAGGCGAAATGTTAAAAAAAGAATTTAGATTTTGGAGACGTATTTTTGGATGCATTCATATTATACACCTCCAACGCTTTTATAAGTGAGTCACTCTATTTTGTCTAAAAACTCATAGTTTTATGTTCAATAAGTTTTACGGAGATGTATCTCTAAACGAGTTTTAATTAATATAACTCACATCGAATCTTTCTCTCTTTCTTTTTCATTTGCTTACACTTTTACAAATCTTTTATAGAACTTTAGAGCAATAATTAACTACATCATTTTTCAAGTTTTAACACTACTTTTACCTTATTGCAATCAATCTTAGGACATTTCATTCACTCAATTCAAATTTTTGCACAATAGCTCTCAATTGGTAAGTTTTTTATTTCTTTTATATTTTTGAGTTGTGATGCATGTATTAGGTAAAATAGGTTGTTTAAAATGCATTAGATTGTAGTTACATTCAAAATAAGTAGCTTGCATAGACATGCAGTCACATTTGTTGGCGTTTAAGGAATCACAGGGGATTTTATGCATTTTCTACAATTGCGTTTTTTCACAGAGATGCATCTTCGAATTTTGTCTTTTCTATTTTACGAAGATGCATCTCCAGATTTTACATGCCTTAATTTTGATGTGATTTTCTGATTTGTATTATCGGTACAATGACTGAAAACCATGAGAGATTAAGGCACAATCGTGTAACCCAACATGACTTAGTTCGTAGGGAGTTGACAGTGTGCTCAAGGCCACAATTGGTGCTAGTTTGTTTGACGCGGAAGCGTTGGCTTCACAAGACCGTGTGTTTCAGACTTTGACCTCTTAAGAGCGCGTGTCTCCTGTTGACCCTCTAGCTTATGAAGTGCGTCAAGAGGAACCTGTTAGACGACGACAATGATCTAAAAAGGGGGTTGAATAGATCACTTATTTAAAACAGAGTCGACGCTTAATATAATTTGATTTTTAAAAATTTTAAGCGGAAGTGGCCGATGAACTTTACTCGTCTAAACGAACCGTTACCAAAAAGATCGGATATACCCTACGCCTATATGGAATACCGATAAAGACGAGAATTAGAATCAATAATTTGAACACAAATCAATAGGATTTTGTTCACTCAAAGTTGAACAATTTCCAATGCTTGTGAAATATAAACCAAATTGAAAAACAGCTCAAGTATTTGTATTCACACAATTAGTCGAACACTTGGTGTGCGAAGCACCCCAAGTAAAATTCAATAAGTGAATGAAGTGCTAAGATTTTTCGATTACAATCAAACGGATTGTAATGAGATTTCTAAAAATGAGCACTAACACACCAGAATTCTAGTCAACTAATATGTTTGCACACAAACTCAAAATTCAGCAATGAAAATAGTAAAAAGAGAGAACACCAATTTGTTGAGGCAGTTTTTCCATCGTCCTCGCTCGGGGTACATCTGCCCTCAATTTTAAAAATAGAATTGAGACATGTATATATAACCCGTTGCAAATTATTTTTACAGGAGAAGCAATAGAATTCAAACACTCAATCCTAAATGTTGATGCTGAGCCTATTCCTACTCTTTCCTTGATTCAAGATGAATTAAGTCCTTCGAACGTGATAAGTAAACCTCCTATTACGATACCACCTTTGAACAACTCTCTGATCTTCAAATCTTTCCCGGCTGATTTCAAACACCAACAATTCGAACTGAAACCTTCCTTCCACAACCCTCCGGTTAACGCTACTAAATTGACAAAACCTCTTGTTCTTCAATTACCTTCGCTCGGCTGAATCTGTGACGGAATGATTTGTGCAAAACCCCCCAAAATCCAAGATTCTTGGAGGACAAAACCCTAAAGGTTTTATTCAAGAAAAACCCACTGATTTCTCAACCCAAACCCGATACACCGATCCTAAGTTTGGACGTTATCACCTCGATGATGCAAAATACACAACAAAAATGATTATGTGTAGTTGTTGAGAAAATGCAAGAAAGAGGATGAAGATTATGAGAATCAAATCGGTGTATATTTTCACTTTTCTTGTTGTTGTTGTTGTTGTGTAAAATGAGCTATCTCAATATATATGCAATGTTGTAACCAAATAACAGACATAACAGTTACTTTGAATGGTAAACATAACATAAATTTTATGAGAAACGAGCGAGCGGTCGACCTAAAACAAGGGGGGGGGGGGGGGTCAACCTGAGCTCTCCTGAATTCAGGATTATGCAAAAAAAAGCTCTTTGCATCGACCGAAACAGGTCCATGCGTCGACGCAAAGCACCCCAATTTTGACAATACAAATGCACACAGTATGAGTCGACCAGAGGGTGGACGCGAGCTCTCCTGTGACCAAAACATGAAAATTGGCTTCTGTATGAGTCGACCTAAGCAAGCTTTTAGTCGACTCAAAGACTCAGAACTTGCAAAAATGCAGATTTTGATATGTTTAGCTACATCAAAGTGTTCCTAATGCATCTCTAACTCGACCAACATGATCAAACTCATATAGAACACATATAGTGCTTTTCTTATATGAACCAAGACACATTTTGACAAATGTTTGCCACTAGAAAAATGACGTATGAATATACGACTCGATGACACCGTCCAAAGTACACTTTTCTAACTATATATGTTTTGACATCATTAAAAAAAGTATAACCAACTATGAGGCACTTTCCCCTCACATACCCCCCCCTTTTTTTATGATGGCAAAACAGTAGAAACATAGTTGAGCACAGTGTGTAGTATCATCCTCCCCCTTAATCTATGCATTTATCTAGAAATGCTTTGTATGTTTGATCAGTCTTGTAAAGTGATTTGTTGTTTCTGCTTGGTTTCTTCTCCCCTTTTGACAACATCAAAAAGAAAGAAGATATAGGTCAACGAAAGACATAGTATAATGAGATAAGCATATTCACCTAATTTGCAACAGGATAACATTAACAAACATTCACATATGAAGTTAATGAAATCATATAGAAGGATAAATAAATAACACCGCAAATGATCAAAAGAAATATGTGTTATTAAAAATATTAAAGATTAACAAAGCTTTATGTCTTGATAATTCAAACAAACATAAGAAGAGATTAACACTAGAATACGATGAACACTATATGAAATAACATGCACAATGATATACAAGGACTCCTCAAGGCCTCCTTCCCCTAAAGTGATGACCCCTTCCACGAAATGGATAGTCATGAGGTGGAGGAAGTTGTTGCTCATCTATCGTTTCGTAAGCTCTAGGATAACTTTATTAAGAGTGTTGAAACTGGTAGTGAGAGCACGATGTTGACCTGTAGCAAATTCAACCATGCCATCAAACCGACCCATCACTGGTGTTGCGAATGAGTTGAAGTTATTCATGTGAGCTTGAAGTTGGTTCTGAAAATTTGTGAACCGCTCATCCTGGACAATGATAAAGTTTTGGTGTTCGAGCTGCATGCTCCTTATCATTTCGAGGAGTTATACATTGTTCTATTGGGGACGCGGAGGTGATGAAGGCATGTAATTCCAATTCGGGTTCTCTTGATAATCCCAATTCGTTGCTTGAGGCATGTAATTTTCACCTAGTGTAGTCCAGTACGTGTGTTGCCAGGCACCCCATCCTTGATTTCCATCAGATTCCAAATGGGGTGATTGATCTAGCCAACCACTATTATCTTGTTCATCAGTATCCATGTGATTTTCACCCTCTTCTCCTTCTTCTTCTTCTTCTTCTTCGTCTTCACCACTCTCGTTAGATTTCTGTAGACAAGAGCTTGTTGCCTTAATAATAAATCTGTAGCGAGAGTCATGAGGATCCCAAATATAACCCATCATAGTTAGAGTCTTTTGATAAAACTCTTGGTCGATTGTCAAGGTTGTGTAAGGGATATCGGGTACTGCCACATTAGCATTATTGAGGACATATTGGATGAAGGATGCATATGACAGTGCGATTGCTCTACCAGAGTCTTTCAAAAAGTAGATTATACTCGCAATATAGTGAGTCCAGTTAATCTTGATCTTGTTTTTTAGAATGTAAATCAAGTGAACCTCAACTTGGTCAACCCGAGAATAACCACCTTTCTTGGGTCGAAGAATGTGCGAGACAATCCACTGTAAAATTCTGTCAACCGGCTTCAACCTACCAGTTGTGACTGATTTCAGGAAAAGGTCACTAGCGACAATGTCGTCAGCATATGGTTTCGTCAACATAGAGTTCAAGGCTTCCTTGAACTCATACCCGTCCATGGTTAGAGTATTCGTGACCTTAATCAGTGGCTCAGCAGTCAGAGGAGACATATTGAAAAGATTTTTCCAGACAGAGTCATTGACAAATACCTTATTATTTCCAATCTTAGTACTGAACTAAAAACCTTCGAATTTTCCTTGAAGACCAGTGTAGAAAATTCTGATCAAGTCCTCACTATATTTATTATCGCATTCCAAAAATTTGTTGAAATTCTGAGCATCCAGAAATTCAAGTACTTCTTGGATGTGCATTCTTTCAGCAACTTTTC